CTGTGAGACCAGCCCCTTGGCCTGTTCTCACAGGCCTGTGTTGTATTCGGGGTAGGCCAGTCCAGGCCGGTACCTCTGTCGGTACCAGCCAGTCCAGTCCAGTCCCGTCAGTCCGCTGGGGTATACCCCAGCCATTGTCTGTTTTCAGTCTCATTCCTCACTTGCACATTTTGGCGTACGTGCGTTGGAGTCTTGCGTGGGGAGCTGCGTTGTGCCATCTTGCTCCCCCTTCTTCCCCCATCTCCATCTCTGTCACTAGCGGAGCACCACACCTGGTGGGTCCGCTACAGTCTGCCCTTGAAAGTGAATGTGGTCATCCTTGAAAGAAGGATGATTTTGTAGAAATTCACTCCCGGGACGCTACGCTGTTGAAGAGGCTGAAAAAAGTTTCAATTTCCTCAGCAATGGTGTTGGGGTCTTCGTAGGGGTAGAGGCACTACAGGTGACCCTTGGTTGGCTTGGCTTCCTGATAGACCGACCGATGAGGACCCTAGGGTATGCTCCACCGGAAAACGGGTAGGAAAGGTTGATGCTCTCATTATCGCTCACCTCCTCCTTTGACTTTGCATCGGAAGAGAGATCGGTTTCTTTCTCGTCATCGGTGGAGATCAAGGCCGCATTAGTGCCCAAGTCCAGTTTGGGTTCTGATTCGATGAGGTACAGCCACTCCAACTTGTCATTGAAGGACTTCGCATTCTTGCACGACGTGCAGTGATAGTTGTCCAACAACTCCAGTATATGTTCCTTCCGACGGATGTACTCAGGATCATAGTCCTCCTTCGACCGTCCATCCAACAAGAAAAACTATTATATCTTGTTTCTCTTCCGCTCAGTCAATTTGAACCACATTTCCATACAAGGGCCGCACACCCACTCCCGTTTGTCCTCCTTCACCACAAACTCGCAGTTGTTGGCCCCCAAGCTCACGTCGTTTTTGACGAAGTCTGTCGTGAATTGCAACAACTCTGAGTTCCCTTCCAAAGCGACAATGTGGCGGCCGCTCTTCAAAACCTCCCACACGACTTGCACGTGAGGTTTCCCAATGAAGACAACTCCCTCTCCCGTTTTGCACAAGAATTCTAAAAGATCGGCCAATTGGGTGGGGTTGCGTTCCATGTCCTTGTACACCTTGCCTTCTCTTCCTGGTGCGGTCAACGACCAATCGCACGGCGTAAAGGGAATGTCGGATATATCTGTGGGGGTCAATTTTTGAGTCATCGGAACAGCTGCGGCATCAGCCTCCGCGAGCATCCCTTCGTAAACGACAGACCTGTTCTCCCCCACATCGTCGCCCTTAAACAGAATGTAAAGGAGATCCTCCGCTGTATATACATTGTGACCAACAGGAAAGCTTTTCTTATGTTGAGCCCTCCTAACCCACTTCCCTGCCAGTACCTTAACGACAGAAAGATGGTCATAAATGCGAGGTCCTATTGTTGCAGCACAAAACCAACGAGAGTCCAGTTTGCGGGCACAAGAATTGCAGAGCGAATCCAAAGACTCAAATGCTTGAGGTGTCCACTGCTTGAGGTCCACTGGCTCACATAAATCAAGAGCGCAAGTGTGGCACTTCGTGTGATTCACAGCCTCCTGCAACTCTGCAACCCCCACCTGCCCGTCTAGCGGATCGTTGTCGAAGGGTGGGAGGGATGTAATGACCTGCGAATCATTCCATAGAATGTTCACAATGCCTTCAGCAATCGACACTATTCCATAGAATGTTTCGGATTCACTTCTTTGAGAGAGTCTGTTTGTCTGTCTGGCTAGCAGGCTACCCACAATGGCACAATGAACCTGGCGTCATCGAAAATGTATCTGCTGTTATTTCCGTTGTCTATTCTGTCCAACTTTACCCCTTGGAGTTTGTTGCTGAACACTGACGGGCACAGATTCACTTCCACAGATTCACTTCTTTGAGACCCGGTCAATTGTCACCTGGTCCCCTTTCAAATTCATAACAAATACTAGCTTAGGGCCCACGGTGCAGGCGGTGCGGGCTACGCCCGCATAAAAAACCACGACACAGACCAGAAACAGTACTCACTCAGACTCAAATGAACGTGCAGAGCAGAACATACTCAACTGTCTCAACATGTACTCAAAACAGGCTGTTTGAGTTAGTTTGAGTCCGTTTTGAACACATGTTGAGTGTGTTCTGCTATGTAAGTCCATTTGAGTGGAATTGAGTCTGTGTGAGTACTTTGTCTGATCTTTGCCATGTTTTTTTATGCACCACCTGCACCTCCCGCACCACAGGTGCTAAGCTAGTAATATATTGTAGTACATAGTTGACAATATACCTTTTTTTTTTCTTTCCTAGTAGCCGGGGACTTGGATCCATATCTTGCTTCACCACACAAAACCCAACCCATCGGTACTTTCACATGCCATTGGCAAGAAAAATGCACATGAATCTTTTAGGGATTGCAACACTCGAACGGATACATGGAAATACGTTCATGCACATTTCGGCCGCGGGCCCTTTTCAGTACATCCAGCTATCGGTCGCGGGCCCTTTTCGGAGGCCGGCCGCCGCCGATTGGACTCATCTACAGCGCTGGGCCTCCGAAAATTTCCTAGGCGACGAGTTTTCGTTTCGACGAGTTTTCGTTTCAGCAAGCATCGGGCCGTGTACCGGCGGTTTAAACTAGGGGAATATACATTTCTTCTTTCTATTTTTTCAAGTTGCCGGGGGGAGCTTGCGGGGCGGGCTTGGATCCATATCTATCTTCACCAAACACACAACCCAACCAACAACTACTTTCACAGAGCAAAAGAGAGGTGTATGTATGATTGATGGATTGCACAACTCTACATTCTATTTTTCTTGTCTTTTTGAAACGCACGAAAACACACAGGGCCACAGGCAATGCAGCGCAAGGCACATACGGATCTGTAATGGTTGCACATAGGAATCTGTAATGGTTCTCAAAACGTACTCAAATGGACGCATAGAGTAAAACCTACTCAAAATATTCTCGAAACGGGCTCAAACTAACTCAAACAACCCTGTGACAGACACAAACAGACTCTCTCGTAAGGAGGACATTGTCTTTCGCGCATTTGGTGTGTTGCTGCGTCTCTCTCTCTCTCTCTCTCTCTCTCTCTCTCTCTCTCTCTCTCTCTCTCTCTCTCTCTCTCTCTCTCTCTCTCTNCTCTCTCTCTCTCTCTCTCTCTCTCTCTCTCTCTCTCTCTCTCTCTCTCTCTCTCTCTCTCTCTCTCTCTGTGTGTGTGTGTGTGTGCGTGTGTGGGTGTGTGTGGGTGTGTGTGTACGGCCATACAACCAGTAAGGTACAACCAAATGAGTGTGCGCTCTGTTCGGGCAAAGATGGTAATGGCCAATAAGAGCTCATTGCATTCCATACATCGGACGCTCGACTCTACTCCCAACAGTGGCAGCTCCCCAGTAATGGACTAGAGCCATCATCTGCAACACCTCCATCCAGATGGTGCTCTTATCAGCAGCAGGACTGAAAGTTGCACCTCGATGTTCCAAGAAAATGGAACAAAAACAGAGTAGGAAAGGGGAGTTGGGCAATCCCCTCCATGTGTAGCAGCACTTGCACCCTGGGGACCAAGGAATTGCCACAGTTGAGGTTTCACCTAGTACCAAGACTGTGTCTTTGTGGCAGTAGATCCTTGCAATCTGAAGGTCTCTGCTGCAGAATGTATGCAAACAGAACCTCTCCCAGGGAGCAACAGGAGCACCGGAGGGACTGCTACAGGATTCAGCTTCAATCAAGGGCTCCACTTAGTCCGTCGATGCTTGTAATCTACAGTTCAGAATGAAGAATGCAGGCAGATGGAATCTTTGAAGGAGCTGCAAGCAAGAGTCAAGACTCAAGGGATTACCAGAAGGAAGGTTCGACTGAGTACCCAGATGCTGTCTTTCAGCCCGGACGTACTTGAAATCTACCCTAATGCATGCAAGCCAAGGAATAACCACCTTCACCCAAATAGATCGCCCAGGCATTATCGCTGTATCTAGACTGCCCCAAATACAGCAATAATGGCTGGGAATTCTATTCGGGTATTGAAGGTTCCACTTCGTACTCAGATTCAGTTTTTCCACCCATCCATATTGTCTCAGGTCGAGAATGACGAATCCAGGCCATTGGAACCTATCCCAAGGAGCAACAGGAGGGAAGACCTGGCAATTCGGCGGACCCGTTTTCCAGCAGGTGCTGCTCCCCACCAATAGATGGAGCCTTCAACTAAAAAAAAAAGAAAAAAAAAAAAACAGAACAAAAAAAAACACACGAACAGAAGTTGAAAGTTTTTATGTTCCCCAAGGACCGCGAATAAGAGGAAACAGGTAGAACGTGCAAAGATACGCTGCCATACTTTGTGTCTTCTGTGCATGTCGTGACTTGTCGAGCGAGGCTCTAATTGAGCGAGGGAAGAGGCAGATGAATGCAAAATGACCTGACTATGACGATTGGCTTTTCTGTGCATTTTTCTCACCCCAATTATGCTAAAATGAGGTAAAAGGGTTGAAGTGAAAACAGTTGAAGAGGGTACCAACTGGCCTAGCTCAGTTGGGACACCCCTGAACTATTGATATACAGACCTGAGTTGGAACTCCACTGGAAAGAAATGAGCACAATATTGCAATTCTGAATTACCTAGGGCCGGTCAGTTCGATGGTGTGTGTGTGTGTGTGTGTATGTGTGTGTGTGTGTGTGTGTGTG